ACTGTGGAGAGAGCTCTGTTTCTGGTGTCTCTTTAACACTTCCCTAAAATGGCCCAAGACTTTGTCACTGTACATGTTGCCAACCTGGCTTGCAACAACCTTGTTAGGGTGATGTTTCTCCATAAAGCTTTCCATCTTACCCCACATAGTAAAAATCTCTTTAATTTCTGAAGAAGGCACCTTCTTCCATCTCTCTTCCTCCTTCTCTGCAGCAAGATTCTGAGCTGCGATGTGTTGCTCTTCCTGCTGAAGCTCTTGCAGCTCCTCAGTGGTGAGCTCTTCATTGTGGTCTTCCACCAATTTTTCCACATCCTCCAAACTCACATCCAACCCCATGGAAACTCCCCCAGTGCCACAGTTGATTTTACAACAGACATAGGCTCATTAGGGTCAGTCCCAAATCCTTCAAAATCCCTTTTGTCGACACAATCTGGCCACAATTTTCTCCAGGCAGAGTTCAAAGTCCTGGTAGTCACTCCCTCCCAAGCCATACCTATAAGGGTTATGCAGTGGAGGATGCTGAAGTGTTCTCTCCAAAATTCCCTTAGGGTCAAGTGAGTGTCTGTGGTCACAGTCAAGCACCTGTGAAACATTGCTTTTGTGTAGAGTTTTTTAAAGTTTGCAATAACCTGCTGGCCCATGGGTTGGAGGAGAGGAGTGGTATTCGGGGGCAAGAACTTTACTGTGATGAACCCAAACTCCTCGAAAATTAGGTCATCCAAGTTTGGAGGATGAGCAGGTGCATTGTCCATTACTAGCACGCACTTGAAATCCAATTTCTTTTCCAGGAGATACTCCTTCACACTAGGGCCAAACTCTTCATTGAACCACTCGACGAAAATTTCCCTCGTGACCCATGCCTTACTATTAGATTTCCAAAACACACACAATTTACTCTTCTTAACATTGTTTTTCCTGAACACTCTGGGATTTTCAGAATGGTACACTAGTAATGGCTTCACTTTGAAATCCCCACTAGCATTAGCGCAGAACATTAGCGTCAGCCTGTCTTTCATAGGCTTATGTTCTGGCATTGCCTTTTCCTCTTGTGTAATGAAGGTACTCTTTGGCATTTTCTTCCAAAAGAGGCCTGTTTCGTCACAATTGAACACTTGTTCAGGTTTCAGTCCTTCACTGTTTATGTACTCCTGGAATTCATGCACATATTTTTCTGCCGCCTTGTGGTCCGAACTGGCAGCCTCACCATGCCTTACCAAACTGTGTATGCCAGTACGGTTCTTAAATCTCTCAAACCAGCCTTTGCTGGCCTTAAATCCACTCACTTCACCACTATTTGCAGGCAATTTCTTTACCAAATCTTCATGCAACTGCCTAGCCTTTTCACAAATAAACGAAGTCATAAGAGTATCTCCTGCTAATTGTTTCTCCTTTATCCACACCAATAATAACTCCTCAACCTCTTCCAGTACTGGTGATCTTATTTTTGTCAGCATTGTTACTCCCTTTGCAACAACAGCATCCTTTATTTAATTTTTCTTGGCCACTATGGAACATAAGGTTGTGTAGGGTTTCTTATACATCCTGGACAGTTCGGCCACACTTGTACCACTTTCATATTGTTCAATGATGGTTTTCTTAAATTCAATCGTATTTCTCACCATCTTTACCACAGGCTTGGCACTAGGAGCTTTCTTTGGAGCCATGGTAGCTTATTTAGTACTTGCAAGCACTAAAATAAATGGAATATTATGAAATATTTTGCTGGAGCACGCGAGGGGACCTTCACTCACTGGTAAACAATGCCAGACTGGCTGCCGCCCTGACCCACGCCGTGCGTACGCATCCCGGACGAACTACGACTCGCGAGTCAACCTATGAAAAGCGAGTCCATGTTTATACGAAAATACCCCTATGATTGGCGAATTTTACGATTGCCGGGAACTACGAAAAGCGGGGGACCACTGTATATATATATATATATATATATATATATATATATATATATATATATATTATATATATATATATATATATATTTATATATATATATGTATATATATATATAAATATATATATATATATATATATATATATATATATATATATAAAATATATATATATATATATATATATATATATATATATATATATATATATATATATATATGTATATATATATATATATATATATATATATATATATATATGTATATATATATATATATATATATATTATATATATATATATATATATATATATATATATATATATATATATATATGAATATGACGCACACCTGAGATCAACTTTTAAGAAAACACTGAACCTGTCACTTGAGGATGAGCAATGGGATCAGGCAACCCTCCCAGTGTGACTGGGAGGTATAGGGGTGCATAAAGCAACGCATGTTGCTTTACCTGCTTTTCTGTCTTCGTGTTTGGCTTCCAGTGCATTAGTCAAGAAGATAGTGCCCGAACGCTTGAGAGACGTGGTAGGAGCTCAAGACCCCAGGTTTACTGAAGCAGCGATTCGGTGGGACACCCTTACAGACTCCTCCAGTAGACCAGCTCCTCCCAAACAGCACAAACAGTCCCACTGGGACAAACCGATCATGGAAAAAATCGCCAACACAATGCTCTCCAATGCTTCAGGAAAGGACAAAGCTCGTCTCCTGGCAGTGAAGGCACCACACTCAGGAGATTTCCTGTTAGCTGTTCCCAATTCCTCCCTGGGCACCCGTCTCGACCCACAGGCCATTCGGATTGGTGTTGCTCTTCGCCTAGCCGCCCCCATCCTCACCGAACATAGGTGTATTTGCGGCAGGGCGACAGCTGATCAATTCGGACTTCATGGTCTCGTGTGCCACACAGCAGAAGGGAAGTATGTCAGACATGAGGAGATCAATGACATAATAAAGAGAAGCCTCGCCACAGCCCGTTGCCCCAAGTACAGAGGTCTGATGGAAGTCAAAAGCGTCCTGATGGAGCCACTATGCTACACTGGAAGGATGGAAAGCAGATTGCCTGGGACTACACCTGTGCTGCCACATTGGCAGACACCTACTTGCCATACTCCGTAGTGGAAGGGGGTGGAGCTGCCAGCCACAGGGAGACCCAGAAGATCCGAAAATATGAAGACCTTCCCCCTTGCTATAACTTCATTCCAATAGGGTCGGAGACCCTTGGAGCATGGGGCAAGTGTGCTCTAAAGTTCCTCAAAGAGCTGGGTGAAAAGCTCATCATAAAAACCAAGGACCACAGGGCGACCAGCTTCCTCTTTCAGAGACTCAGTGTTGCGATCCAGAGAGGAAATGCCTGCAGCATTCTGGGCATGCGGCCCACCGCAGGGGAGCTGGACGAAGTATTCGAGATGTAGCTCTGAGTTACCTATGTTGTTTTACTTTCTGTTGTATTTTTGTGAATGTTTGGCCAATGTATTTTGTCTTTAAATAAAACATACTTGAAATATAGGGGGTGGTAGGAGAAAATTCTCAAACAGCTTCAGGGAGAACCTTGAGTTTTCCCTGAAGCAAGTTTATTCTTTTCTGTGAGGATGAGGGTCCCTAGGACAGTTCTAGAGGTGGTACCTCCCTATATTTTATAATATATATATATATATATTATATATATATATATATATATATATATATATATATATATATATATATATATATATAATATATATATATATATATATATATATATATATATATATATATATATATATATATATATATATATATATATATATACGGTCAAACTTTAAAAATCTCGAACTAAGATTAAAACAACATAAATATAGCATTAGAACTGGACAAGATTCCAATGCTCTATTTATTCATGTAAGAGATTTTAACCATCCAATTGATTTTCAAAAAGTTGAGAAAGTAGTATCAAGCAAGTCCATGGTCGACAGGAATGTAATTGAATCTTGTTTCATAAAAAGCAGTTTTGACAATAATATGAATATTTCCTTTGGTTTATATAAATTAGATCCATTTATAATTAAAAGAATTTGGGAAGAATTCAATAATACATTGGACAAATAATAAATTTTTAAATTTCTTATTTCTTGGGTAGAATAGTTTGTTGGTGGGTTGTGTGAAGGACCTGTCTAGTTCGGCCGGCGGACCTGCTGTCTCGCGTCAGGTGCTTCTTTGTTGTGGGATCTGATAGTGAGGTGTGGGTTCCTTGATAATGTGAGTAGTCACGAAAGCGCTTGGAATTTCTCTATTCTTTCACAGTGGTTGTTTTGCACACATAATATATATTATATATATATATATATATATATTATATAATATATTATATATATATATATATATATATATATTAATTATATATATATATATTATATCTGTATATATATGGAGGTACCACCTCTGGAACTGTGCTATACAATGATAATTTGGTCTGCCTGTGGGAAGCACTAAAAAAGATCATTATAAACCTTACTTTCAAAAACACTGGGACAGTGAAACAGAAATTGATTAAAAACTCACCGCCTAATAATAAGGGTGGTGTCTACAACAAGGTACCATGCATCCTTGCCCACTCTCATACATTGGTCAGACAGGTAAATCTCTAGAAACCAGATTATCCCAACACCAGTACTCAATCACGACAGGCCGGGTGTCGAATGAAATCTTTAATCATGTCAGCTCTTGCAGTCACCCACAGGGGTGGGCTGCCTCCCAGATAATTGTACCTAACAGTTCCATCATGGAAAGAAACATAATTGAGTCCTCCCTCTTGAATCATGATAGGAATGCCATAAATAACTCAAATTATGGGCTGTACAAACTGATAGCTATTTAGTGGAGTTTATTGTGCACAGCCTTAAACAGCAATGTTATACAAAAGTGTAGGATTGCTCTTATGCCAGGGGGTCTCGTGATGTTTCGGTTATGTTAGATCAGAGTCTGCAAACTGAACATCATGGTAGGCCCGTCGTGAACGCCGATATATTATATAACATCCTGCAAAGTCCGTCGCGAACATCGATAATTAATATGTTAGGTCTGCCGTGACCGGCGACAATGTATATCCCATCCAGCTTCTGCATACAGGTATCTTAAGGTTACAGGTACTCTAGGTGGTGTGCTGCAATACAGACTGCAACCTGAGTGATATAACATCAGTATTAAGGAAGTAGTAATAGGGGCTCATTTAGGTATGGGTGCACATATGTGGTCATTCTAGGACAGCCAAAAAAAAGAGGCAGAGTGAGCTATTGAGATCCTACCTGTTTAGGTACAGCGGTACATAGTACACATAGTTGATTGCAACATGATTATTGCAAGTAGTTTAGTGGTTTACTGAATTAGGTTGTTAGTAATAATAATAATGGCATTAATGATGATAACAGTGGCGTTAAAAAGAAAAATTCAGGAATTACCTGGTTATTATAAGAAAGAAAAATATGAATAAGAGAGATCATACTGACATATTGACACAGAGAATATTTCCTGAATATTCTAGAAAGTTCTGGGACATCGGGTATTACCTGTTGACTAAATGAGGGCATTTATTCCTTCTATTTCATTAGTTAGAAGATTGTACACAATAGTTACATTCTGTATGTGAATGATCCACTACTGTAATGTAACTTCTTACGTCACATGACCTGTTCCCAGCGGTTAGAAGCTTAGGGCTGGCTATTAACTATCTCCTAGTTACTCTATCTTATGCTATCTGCAAAGTGTGAGGTCTACCCCACCCGACCCCACATAGTGTGGGGTGTGGGGGACCGGTGATGCTTGACAGTGGGTCGGGCCTCTCCTCCCTCATTCAGAGATACTCGCCGGTGCTACCCACTCTACTATACTCTGAAAAAACTTCATCCTCATTTTCTCCTGTTGCTGCCCTTGCAACATTGCACAGCTCCTGACGACGCACTGAGAAGTGTGAAAGTACTTGAGCTTAAGATTTTCACCCCCCTTTCCCGTGGCTTGTCTTATATTGTGAAGATCGCCTGTCTGCGATTGTTGTTCATATACAGTGGACCCTCGAATTTAGTAGTGCCATTTATGTATGCAAAACTATTTTTATTATCTATAAAATGTATTTTTTGTTAATATTTCCCATAGGATATAATGTAAATCCAATTAAATTATATATCATAATATATTTTATATATATTATATATATATATAATATATATATATATATATATATATTATATAGATATATATATATATATATAAATATATATATACTATATTTATATATATATTATATATATTATATATATATATATATATATATATATATATATATATATTTATATATATATATATATATATATATAAATATAAATATATAACATAACACTGCGACTAGCCGGGAGATCAAACCTGTGTTGTTTTAGCCCGCCTCATGTGGAGCGAAAATTCACGATGCTCTAACCCAGGGAACCATACAATCCTACAAGCATCACGCACCCAGCACAGTAACCTGACCAGGTTATATGTGACTTGGACTGCCACTGAACCCTAAAACGTAAACATATTACATTATTATGTTACATAATTATATTATTGACAAACCAGAGGCATATACAGTTTGATTCTAATGTTTCTCACGCATTTATGTTTCTTTATCAATAGGATGATCAAGATCTCAAGAGTTAGGAACATTATGTATCATTAACACGACATTTTTGTTGTAGTTCGAGTCTCAGGATGTGTTGGTACCGTGGCACCGGCCTGAGCAATCCTCCAGCGATGACAAGGCGTCAAGCATCGAGCGGGACCTCAACTCCACCACCACGGACGATGATGACCTCTTGCACTACCACGCACACAACCACAGCGACAGTGACTCCTGCCCTTCCCATAGGTGAGCTGACGCCACCTCCCTAGGCAGGTACTCGCTGATATAATTGTGTGAATGCAGTATGTGTCCGCCATTTATACATACAGAAGTGAATTGCAAGGTGTTGGTCAGTGCAGGTATTATCTTCACTGTCAGTATTTGTAGCGAAGCTGCCACACTGTTACACTGTAACAGTGATTACACTGAGATTACACTGTAACATTGTGGCATCATCTGTACAGATGATGTATACACCGAGAGGTGTACTTCTCTCAGCGTTTATACGCTGAGAGATAACTTTAATCCCTATTTCAGAGATTAAAATATTCTTCTCTTCTGGTGAGAAAATTACGTGCAACCTTAAGGTGCTTCACTTAAAGTGCTTAAAGTGTATTCTGTGTGCATACACTGAGACACACACTACTCTGTGTGATACACTGAGACACATACACTACTCTGTGTGCAAAAACACTGAGATAAAAATACACTACTCTGTGTGCATACACTGAGATACAAGCACTACTCTGTGTGCATACACTGAGACACATACACTACTCTGTGTGCATACACTGAGATACATACACTACTATGTGTGCATACACTGAGATACAAGCACTACTCTGTGTGCATACACTGAGACACATACACTACTCTGTGTGCATACACTGAGATACAAGCACTACTCTGTGTGCATACACTGAGACACATACACTACTATGTGTGCATACACTGAGATAAACAAGGCACTACTCTGTGTGCATACACTGAGATACAAGCACTACTCTGTGTGCATACACTGAGACACATACACTACTCTGTGTGCATACACTGCGACACATACACTACTCTGTGTGCATACACTGAGACACATACACTACTCTGTGTGCATACACTGAGACACATACACTACTATGTGTGCATACACTGAGATACAAGCACTACTCTGTGTGCATACACTGAGATACAAGCACTACTCTGTGTGCATACACTGAGACACATACACTACTCTGTGTGCATACACTGAGACACATACACTACTCTGTGTGCATGCACTGAGACACATACACTACTCTGTGTGCATACACTGAGACACATACACTACTCTGTGTGCATACACTGAGACACATACACTATTCTGTGTGCATACACTGAGACACATACACTACTCTGTGTGCATACACTGAGACACATACACTACTCTGTGTGCATACACTGAGACACATACACTTCTCTGTGTGCATACACTGAGACACATACACTACTCTGTGTGCATACACTGAGATACAAGCACTACTCTGTGTGCATAAACAGAGATACAAGCACTACTCTGTGTGCATAAACAGAGATACAAGCACTACTCTGTGTGCATACACTGAGATACAAGCACTATTCTGTGTGCATACACTGAGACACATACACTACTATGTGTGCATACACTGAGACACATACACTATTCTGTGTGCATACACTGAGACAAATACACTACTCTGTGTGCATACACTGAGACACATACACTACTCTGTGTGCATACACTGAGACACATACACTACTCTGTGTGCATACACTGAGACACATACACTACTATGTGTGCATACACTGAGACACATACACTACTATGTGTGCATACACTGAGATACATACACTACTATGTGTGCATACACTGAGACACATACACTACTATGTGTGCATACACTGAGATACAAGCACTACTCTGTGTGCATACACTGAGACACATACACTACTCTGTGTGCATACACTGAGACACATACACTACTATGTGTGCATACACTGAGATACAAGCACTACTCTGTGTGCATACACTGAGACACATACACTACTATGTGTGCATACACTGAGACACATACACTACTCTGTGTGCATACACTGAGACACATACACTACTATGTGTGCATACACTGAGACACATACACTACTCTGTGTGCATACACTGAGACACATACACTACTCTGTGTGCATACACTGAGACACATACACTACTCTGTGTGCATACACTGAGATACAAGCACTACTCTGTGTGCATACACTGAGACACATACACTACTATGTGTGCATACACTGAGACACATACACTACTGTGTGCATACACTGAGACTCATACACTACTCTGTGTGCATACACTGAGACACATACACTACTATGTGTGCATACACTGAGACACATACACTACTATGTGTGCATACACTGAGACACATACACTACTCTCTGTGCATACACTGAGAAACACACTACTCTGTGTGCATACAATGAGACACATACACTACTCTGTGTGCATACACTGAGATAAACACTAATCTGTGTGTGTACACTGAGAAACAAACACCACTTAGTGTGCAGACATTAAGAAACATACACCACTCAGTGTATATACAATGAGAAGTATATACAACTCAATGTACATACACCGAGAAACATACACCATTCATTGTATATACACTGAGAAATATATACCACCATGTGTGTATACACTGCGAAACATAAACCACTCACTGTTTAGACACTGATCTGGTAAAAGGTTCTTGATCCAAGAATCTGAAGCTACCCTCCCACTCCCCTCCTCCTTGAATCAGTCATGGTCGCCTCCCAGACCCAGGAGCTGGGATACAGGGTGTTTTAAATTGATGGACCTGATTTGAAGTACTTGTATCTGTACAATTGGGTCCATCAATTTGAAACATCCTGTATCACTGATGTTTATAACGGAAATCTTCGATATTGTCATCGACAAAAAACAATAAAATCAGTTTAATGTACGTTTAATAATTTTTTAATAGTCAGTTCTCCAGTAATATAATAGTTAAATGTGTTTATAGTACTTTATTTATTTTTAATAAGTGAAATAAATGTTTACACTTTGACATGAAAATATATAATAATGAATAACTAAAGTGTAATGAACACTTGTCAATGCTCAGTAGTAACTCACATGGAGACAGAAAAAAGGTTGATTGATCTCCATATTTCGACCTTTTTCTGGGATCTTCTTCAGGAGATGGAGCTGCTGAAGACGATCCCAGAAGGGGTCGAAATATACAGATCAATCAACCTCCTGAGTTTCTGTCTCCATGTGGGTTATTAAGAATATAGAATAATAAAAAATAGGTTACTCATGATCCAAACATCAACAACACTCTATATACCTTGTTCAAAATAGATACAACGTTCTCAAGTGTCCAGCACCTTGACACACGAGATCCAACATGTCCAGTAAGAGTTACCATTAAACATCTTAAGGGGGACACTCAAATATTCCCAATTCAATACCAAAGTCCAATTATAATGCTAGGCATTGTAATTCCCATATGCCCCGACTGTAATATAGTACACAAATAGAAGGAAAGGACCCGTGAGAGATGGTGAATGGCACTTAGTTTCTTAAGAGTGTCTTGGGAGGCTAAGGATGTACTTGTTCCTGGTAGTCTAGCTTGGACCGAATTAGGCAGGTAGTCTCATAGTTTCGTGTTTTTTGGTCATGGAGGCATCATGCTCTTTTTACAGGTATGGGAACCTTATAGATTTTTTATGGGTATGGTAGTCTCATAGTCTTACATGCCTTCACCTCCTGACTCTGACTTATGTAGCTCGTTCGCTAGTGCACTCGACTCACACACTGAGGTCCGCGGTTTAATTTCCCGGTATTTCAGGAAAAATTGGGACTTGTTTCCTCAAGGCACCTACTGTCCATGTTAACCCATCAGTAAAATGGGTACCTGGGTATTAGTCGACTGGTGTGGGTCGCATCCTGGGACAAAAATTGGCCTAATTTGCCGTAATGCTCTGTATAATAGGGGGCTTTCTATATAGTAGTATGTCATTGATGTCAGCTAGGCTTGTATACCTTGTACATGTATTATGTTATTATTACAGTCATATACACCTCGTACCGTCACATGGTCACCTGAGTCTTATACGGTAGCTTGACATATTCACTTTCTAACCTAGTACAGTTATGTAGCTACCAAACTTACATGCATAATAGTACATTTAATCTTCTACTTGTATGATACCATCACGCACTCATCTTCTGAGTTTTATACAAATATATCGGCACCATGATGGGAATATGGTAGAACCATCTTCTGCTCTTTCTGCAGGTAGGACACCACCATTCACCTGCTGGTCTTCTTACAGGTATGGGAGTCGCAGAAACGGCCGGCGACGCACCAGGTCCCGGGCCATAGATCCCGTGGGTGCTGCGTCATCATCACAGAGTTCCTCAGACCTCAGTAGCCCCAACGAGTCCTGCTACAGCTTCGTGCGACGGGCACTACAGGTAGCCTCCGACAATAGCCAGCAGGTTGATTGAGGCGGATAGAGCAGTGTTTGTTCCTGTGTTTATATCTATACTCCCATTTTTCCTTTTTTTCTCCCTCTTTCCATCGTGTATTTTTCCCGTAAAGAATGTGGCCATCTGTCGAATAATATCATTACGAACGTCTCTGTGAAGTTATAGACTTTTTTCCCCCTCTGGACGTAGAAAGTGTCAACAATAGTTGGTATATGATGGCCCCAAGCTTTCTTGTATTCGTTTATCTTTAGCTCTCCTGTGGGAATTTTTATAGTATTATTCGTTTATCGTGAGTTTTTCGTTAAGTATAACAGTGAGACTTTTTTAATAGGTGAGAACAAATGTATTCAAAGATCAGTTCCTCTTGCACTGCATGTTCCAAGGATCTAGATACAGTTGCACATGTTTATGTCCTAGAAATACTGAACCAACTCTTATAATATGGTATGAGCGGAAGTTTAGAATCCTCAGACTTACAGTGGTGACAGCATGGTGTTGTAGACGAGGATAGTGTAGTCCTGGCTCGTTATGGTGTAGTACTCCACTTAGTAATGTCCTGGATGGTGATGACACTATACCAGGGAGTTATTAATGTCCTAGATAGAGTGACAGTTTCCTAGATAGTAGAGAAATAGCATCCTAGATGGGGTTGAGAGATAACAGGTGTGGTCAAGCCATGCTCAGTGAGGCTCGATTGCTTGTTACCCTCAGAGTACGGGCTCTTGATCCAAGGAAGTGAATCTCCCCTCCTCCCCTTTTATCGACCATGTTTGCTTTCCATTATCCATGCACTGTATAACACCCCAACGGGGTTAGCGCCCCTCCATAATTATAATAATAATCGTTTGTTTATTCAATTCAGCCCGTGAGACGACATTCATATTCACGGATATTGTCTCACTGAGCCGCACTGAGTCACCAAGTTAGTCGCATGCGGCTGGGAAGTCATGGCTTGGCTGCAGTTGCATATAGTGCTGGCATAGCAGCCTAGGTTGTGACACTACAGCTCTTTAGATGGTAGAACTACAAGAACCTCCAACATACAGACACGGCTCTGTAGCTGTGTTTACCTGTAACACACAAACGCACAATGGCAATACAGACAATGTTCCGTGGCTCAGTAGGCAACGCTCTTGCCTCACACATTCAGTGTCCGTGGCTCATTCCCCGGCACGGGTGGAAACGCTGGGTATGTTTCCTTACACTTGCTGTCCCTATTCACCTAGCAGTAAGTAGGTATCTGTGTGTTAATCAATTAATGTGGGTCGCATCCTGGGGGACAAGATTAAAGGATAACGATGGAAATAAGACAGACAGTCCTCGATGACGCACTGTCTGGTTATCCTGGATGGCTAACATTCCGAGGTTAATGGAAATAAGACAGACAGTCCTCGATGACGCACTGTCTGGTTATCCTGGATGGCTAACATTCCGAGGTTAATGGAAATAAGACAGACAGTCCTCGATGACGCACTGTCTGGTTATCCTGGATGGCTAACATTCCGAGGTTAAAAATCCAAATTTTTATCTTATCACACCCAGTACGTCGTATCCTTCCCGAGGTGACGGGAAGCATCTCGGGTCCTCCAGGTGAAGCTTCACGTATAAAACATCTCAGATATTTAGTGAAGTCTTTCTCATGCATCTCTTTTACATCAACATTATTTATTAAAAAAAAATGTTTGACCATAATGAAGTCTATGCACATCTTCAATTATATAAATACTTAACTGAGATTTTTCTAAATTACCTTAAAAGTGTCTTTAACTTCGAATCCTTTTGTGCATTAATTGATTTTAGGATTTGTCCCATTATTTAGCAAAATAATAACACTCCATTTACCAGTGAGTTTATTGCAGTGCTCTTATAGTGAAGTTCAAGTGATTAAGGCAACGCTCATCTTGCCATATAGGACAAGTGAAAATTTGTGTATGCAATAATTTCGCCAAAATCATTCTGAACCTAACGAAAAAAATATATTTCACTGTTTGTTTAGTATTAAATTATTGTAAACAAATCTAAAATATATTTAGTTGGGTTAGGCTAAAATAAATTGCGCTTGTTATAATAAGGTTAGGTAAGTTTTCTAAGTTCCTTTTGGTGCAAAATTAAAAAAATTTACATCAACATTAATGAAAAAAATATATCTTTAAACGTATAAGAGAAAATTTTAGAAAGGACTTAATTTTAATTGAGTTCTTGCTAATTGACCAGTTTTACATATTCGGCACGACATATATATATATATATAATATATATATATATATATATATATAAATATAATATATATATATATATATATATATATATATATATATATATATATATATATATATATATAATATACGGGGAGTAGAATGAAATTAGCTCAGAGGCACTCACACCACCGTATGTCCTCGGATCAAGGTAAAACATCTAGCTCTGCTGAGTACTTGGTTCTTGTAGGATTGCGTGGTCCTGTGGGTTAGACAGGTTACAGAAAACCACAATAGATATTTCTTTAACAGAGAAGTCTGGATCCCAAAACCTAATTTATTTACATCTGACAGAGTACATAAGCTGCAAAGAAATGAATAAGCTCTTTAAATATAAAAGTCATACCTCGTATCACCAAATGATACGATAGAAATCCTTGGAATAAAAGAACAATATTATGTCGATTATCAGCGAACACGATTTACCAGAGTCACTAGCAGTGGTATTCATTGAGAAATAAGAAAGATATCTGAATAGGAAATCTTTTAAATCCAATATCCAATAAAATCCTCCAAGAAGATTTCGACTTCCTATAATTTAAAATGGCAAATAAGAGGATTATACTGGGGAAAAAAAAGCAACAGTACGCATTTAGGCGGAAAAGGAACTTCCCAGGAAACTCGAAGTCTTTGTTTAAAGTTTACGTTGAACCAACAGAGAACAGAACCTACTAGAAATAATAATATGCTAGATTCGATTTTCACAGAGGAACTAATCCGAGACATGACGGACTCGACTCAATACACTGATAACAACCTCAATGAAGTGCAAACAACAGTTGTCAACTCATGCTTGGATAACGTGAGAAATAATCAACAAGAGAGGGTTGTTTAAACAATTTAATTTCAGCATTCATAGAACTGACTTGAGTAAAATAAATAAAGGAGTTATTAAACAATCTTGGAAGCCCATCCTTAGTATTGTATATGTATGGTAGACAATTCCGACAAGTTGAAGAATTAGACAAATGAGCAACATCTGGGTATCTTTATTTGTAGACGTTTCGCCATCCAGTGGCTTTATTAATACAAGTTCAAGGACATAATTGGAAGACAGTAGAACTATATACAAAAGATGAGGTAATCAGTCCCTCAGTCTGAGGCTGAGGGACTGTGTCTAACTCTTCATTCTCAGCAGTCTTGACGAATCAGTTACCTGGGAAATACTGAATGCAGAGGCCTGTACGATCTAGATAAAATATGCCTCGCCAAGAAAGCCTATAAAAGGAGCTCAAAGAAATGTAATAGAATGTAATAGAATTAAAAAAAAAACCGAAGAAGGAAAAATGTTTTCTGAACTTCTCGGAATGTAACAATTGTTGTAATAAAGGAAATAAAATCTACTCCGAGAAATTCCCTTTAAAAATCTTGATGCTGGTGACGGGTTCTAGAGTCATGGAACTTGAGTCGTTATTCTCTTCCTCTGATCAAACCTGATTACCTCCCAATAACCAAGTATTATATGACCCTTATTGGTTTGGCACTTCCCCATAAATACAAAAACATTACACAGAGAAATTACTGAAATTCAGAAAAAAAAAATTATCAGGCAGAAAACACACAAAAGGAAAACATGACAATCAGGAAAATGTGAAAATTCCGACTTTTTTTAAATATACGCAAAAGTCAAAGTCAGAACTCTATCAACATTGGTCACCTACTCAAAGATCATTCCCAGATGACGACAAAGAAATGCGCAAAATCCCGAGAATCTGAATCAATATTCAACACTAAAGATAATCAAAGTTGAAGACCCACACAGCGATATTCATTTACTCTGCCCCTCCTACAGATTATATATGTGACATTGCCACTAATCCTGCAAACTTTGAAAACAGATATAGACAGCATGCCAAAACATGCAACACCCGAGCCTGATTCCTG